TCGAGACAGGGTTTCTCTGTGTAGTCCTGGCTGTCCTGGAACTCACTCTGTAGACCAGGCTGGCCTCAAACTCAGAAATCCGCCTGCCTCTGCCTCCCAAGTGCTGGGATTAAAGGCGTGCGCCACCACTGCCCGGCCGACACTGACCTTTCAAAAGTCCACACAAGGTCCAGTCAGTCAGTCAGTCATCCCCACCCCCCACCCCCCACACACACTTTCTGACTGCTGCCTACAAATTGGGGTGTAAGCTCTCAGCTTCTGCTCCAGTAACATGCCTGCCTGCCACCATGTTCCCTGGTGTGAGATCATGGACTAAACCTCGGAAACTGTAAACTCTAACGCTTCCTTTATAAGCTTCCTTTATCATGCAGTTTTATCACAGACATAGACTAGTACTTAACGGACAAAACAGACAAAATACATTACTGGAATTTTTTGTTCCTAAACCCCCCTTGTTTTCCAAAGGTCCAGAATGGAGCAAGACCCAAAGAAGAAAACAGGAGCCTGTTAGATTATTAGATATGAAAGAAATAATACAGAGATGGGAAAGGAAGAGAAAATAATTCTTCAAAATAAAGCCACAAACGGTCATTAGAAAACACATGACTAAATCTAGTAGGAAGACACAGACAACATGGGTTGTGTCAGTGCTGAGAATCAAAGGAGGGCTCTCTACATGCTCTGTACATGCCCTGCCACTGAGCTAGATACCCAGCCTTATGCTTCACTAACAAGGTAGATGATGAACTAACTCTAGGTGAGGTTATTCCTATGGAAGATGTTGACAAATTCTCATAAAGCAAGTGTGCTCAGCAGGATAATTAATATGCAACACGCACTTAAAACCTTAGGGGACTGAGGCCGAGGACACAGTAGTAGAAGACTTGGCAGGCATGTGTGGGATACTGTGTTTGAATTTCAGTGCTGACAAATGTATTATAGGAATTAACTTCAAACTAATAAAATAAGTACATATGAATATGAGAAAAAAAAACAAGTAGGTTGTGGGAAAAGTATACATTTATTTAAATGTAAAACCCAATAGATGATACCCAGATAGGATTTTAAAAAGAGTATGTATGAATTCATCTGTAACAGGCATAAATGCACTTTTGAATGTGTCTGCTAAAAGCCTCCATAGAAAAGAATGCTAAAGAATGGAAAGTTCCTGCCTATTTTAAGGCAAGTTGCTTGGGAGAGGTTTTTGTTCTGTGACCAGAGGCAAAGTCACTGCATGACCTTGAGCTGCCCCCAGAATAAAGAAGAAAGTGGTTTTCCCACCCCACCCCCTACTTACAAGAGCCTCTAAGGAAGGAGCTCTGAGTAAGATATAGGGATTTTCTCTTTGGGCTTGCAGAAACAACAGAGAAGCAGATGGCAGGACACAGGTGAAACAGTATTCTCAGAAAGAAAGCTAGATCGACCCAGATAAAAAGAGATTTCTAAAGAGCTGGCAGTTTAGTTGTAGGATCAGGCTTGTTTACAGATATTCCGTATATAATTCAGAAAATAAAGTTACCTGCTCAACTAGCAGGTTTTTACCTGCTACCCCAGTTTCGACATCCCACCCACAGCCACCCCCACCCATCCTGCCTTTCTTGGTATATTAGATCATTTAAATGGTTACATATAAAGTCCTAGTTCACTCCCTAGTGCTGCCAAAATGGGGGAAAAAAACTATATCAGTAACAACTATACAGTTAAGTGGTACCTATACAAGAAAATTTAATAATAATATTGGAAAATTTCTTTTAAACAGCCAGGCACATTGAAACATGTCTGTTCTCCACTACAAGGGAAGCTAAGTGGGAAGGGTGCCTGAGATAAAGTGGATAGCAACCTAGCAACACAGAGAGACCAACCCTGTTTCAAATAAAAGCTGTAACTACATGGAGAGCTGTTATTAGGCAGACGAGGTAAAAGGTGCCTTGGGGCAAGCTGTACATCAGCGAGATCAACAGATGGAGGATAAGATGGTTATTGGTTTGTTTACTGGGGAGAGAGAGGAGAAATACTGTCTCAGGGTGGGAACATGAGAGTGACACAGACAGACGACAGACAGACAGACAGACAGGCAGGCAGGCAGGCAGGCAGGCAGACAGGGAAACAGAGAGAATGAACAAGACAGAACCATCCGGGTGGCCACCATGGCACCACACAATAACAGTGAAAACTCACCCTACCTGTCAGCTGCAATGGGTAATGACAGAAGCTGCTACCCGCTGAGTAGCTGAAAGGAGGACTGGAGGAACAGCAAACTTACAACAGCTACGCTATACCCGTGGATATGAAGATCCATAACCATCATCAATGCACGAAGAAAGAAAAGGTGGCATATATATTTAACGTGATGCACTTCACCCTTTGTAGGGGTGGCGGGGTGACAGAGTTGAGGCAGGATGTCATGCAGCCTGGACTGGCCTTGAACTTGCTTATAGCTGAAGATGACATTTAATTCTTTAAAAAAAAATGATTATGTATAGTCTTTTGCCTGCATATATGCTTGCAGGCCTGAAGAGGGCGCCAGATCTCATTATAGATGGTTACGACCCACCATGTGGTTGCTGGGAATTGAACTCAGGACCTCTGGAAGAGCAGACAGTGCTCTTAACTTCTAAGCTATCCCTCCAGCCCCTAACATTGAATTCTTGATTCCCCTGCCTTCCTGCCTATAATTGTCCAGTGTTAGGATTATAGATATGCATCTTGGTGTGAAACAAGCGTATGATTCAACCCTAAAACAGAAAAAATAATCTGCTACACATAGGCACACATGGATCTCTGCACACACATGCACACAATGGGGGGGGGGGCAGACAGAGCCCTAACAAATCCATGTATCATGTAAAGCTTGGTCTCCTTAGCTAATTCTCTGTGGGCCATCCTCTAACTCACTTGTACCCAAGACTACTCACACGTCATCTTCATCCAATCCTGGCTCCAGCTGTTCATCATCCACCATAATGCCCATGGCTCCTTCTACCTCTTCCCGGTCTTCTTTAGGAAGCTCTGGTTTGATGATTACTACTGAAAGAAATGACAAAGATGAAAGTGGACCAATCTGTGAACCTGAGGAGCAACATATACCCAAAATCCCACAGTGAATGCCACTCGTGATGGCAAAACAAGGTACTGACGAGGATGGCAGCAGATATGTCTGTTGTGGTTTGGGTGTGAGCTGTCTCCCACAGGCTCAGGTGTTTGATCGAATACTCAGGCCCCAAGTGGGGAAGGTGTGGAACCACTGGGGCGTGGCTGAGCAAAGAGCCTTGAGGTTTAGAGTCCAGTCCTGCTTCCTGTCCCATCTCTGTTTCCTGTTGAGAGCTTTTGGTGCCACTTCTAGGAATTTGGCATTTGTCACTAGGCTTGGAAGTAGGCTCAGATAAGAATATCAGAAACAGTAACCACGGGGCTTTGTTTACTGCTTTACTTAATTATTACCCTGTGTGATCCTTTTGCTTACTGCTTGACTTAATTACTGTCTTGTGTGATCTCCTTGTTTACGACTTTGCTTGATGACTTAGCCTTTGATCTAAGAACTAGCCGAGTGTTTTGGATGTACCTAGAATGATATAAAAGCAGGCTGGAGAGAACTAGAGCTGCTTCAGCCTCAGTATCAGCTGAAGTCATGTTATAATTTTGTCTAACTTTTTCTTTTTCAATCCTCACTCCCTCGCTTGAGATTCTGTTGACTGAGCTGGCTTAGTCAGTTCCCTGGTTCCCTGAGATGTGTGCAAGCAGCTGCCATATGCCCCCACCACCACCCCAGAGATATCTTCTGCCATGCCTTCCTGGCCATGATGGACAGCAACTCTCTTTAAACCATGAGCTGAAAGAAGTCTTTTGCCCTTAAGTTGCTTCTTGCTGAGTATTTAGTATCTGAGATGAGAAAAGCGATTATTAATGCAATATTCAGTTATTTGGTGCTGGACTGAAAACTTAGGCAACACAGGAAGACACACACAAAAAAAAGGGAGTGTTACAATAAGGAACAGACATAGAAATTTTAAGAAAAGTATGACACCGAAACTTAAGACTTGCCACAGGGGAACCATCCGTATCGCCCTCCATCCCTGTAAACCTATTGTACATCTGTGCTTCGTGCAAGAAATGATGCAGCCTGCAGAGCACACGGGAAGTATGCGCACACCTGCATAGCTGCCCCGTGTCTCTGTATTCATTCTTATCTCAGAGGTTCTTGATCTGGGCATGGTGATGGCTGTCAGGAGTCACAGCACTTGGGAAGCAGAGGCAGGAGGGTAAATGCGTTTGAAGCCAGCCTGGGCTGCATAAGATCTACTCTGGTGTCTTAGTTACTTTTCTATCCTTGTGACAAGACATCAAGGTCAGTAGTCTGCTGGGATGGGGTATGGCCCCCTAGCTGAGTTAGATTTCCATACGCTTTTGTTGTTTCTTTTCAGGAGCAGAAAATTCCTTAGGCCTTTTCCTTTCACAAGTTGCAGGATTAGCTGGGTAGGGTCCCAGCCTGAGAATAGCACTCCCTTTATTCCACTTGGAACCTGGCCTCTCTTTTGGCACAAGCCATGCCTCCAACATTAAACTTCCTGCTGTTCTCTTCTGCTTCAAACTGTACATTTTGTATTTCTTTTTGCCTCGCTCGCTCTTTTCCATTATAAAACTGCATAAGAATAGCAATAGGAAGGTAACCAAGACACAAGTTTGGTATCAAGGAGTGAGCTACTGTGGTGCCCGGTCCTCCCGTGCTGTTGATTGGAGAAATTTGGAAAACTTTGGAACTTTGGACTAGAAAAGTGGTTGAATGTTGCAAGTGGGGTTTAATGGGCCCTGCTAGTAAGTGCTTGGAAGACAATAGTGCTGAAAGCAGCGTGGACTGTGGAGCCCAGCTCACCAGGTTTTAGAGGTGAATGGTATTAGTAACTCAGCTTTGCAAAGCACCGACTCTTCTTTAAATTGAGTTTCGTATACTTTGTTGCTGTTCCTTCTGTCTCCCTAGTTTCGGCCCTGTTATTTTCTCTTCCCATCTACTCTTCATAGTGTTGTTTGCTCTTATTTTTCCGAGACCCTCAGGCACAGTCAGGCTTTTCAGTTTTTTCTGTAGGCGTGGGGTGCTATAAGCTTTGTTCTTACAAATGTTCGCATTGTGTCCCACAGGTTTGGATGTGTCACGTTTCCATCTTCATTCAGTCCCAGGACTTGTTAAACTTCCTTCTGATTCCTCCAGGGACCCAGTTTCCTTCCGCTCAGTAGTATGTCCTTTTCCTTCCATGAGTGTGTGTAACTTTCTGTCATTTCTACTGCCGGTGATGCCCAGCCTTATTCCTCTGGGGTCAGATAATACAAAGGGTATTATTTGAATTTCTTTTGCAAATTCGTGAAGACCTGCCTTGTGTCCTAATATGTGGTTGATTTTGCAGACAGTTTCATGGGCTACTGAAAATAAACAGAATGTGTTCTTTAGTGCCTGGGTGGAGTGCCCTGCAGATGTCGGTTAGATCTATGTGGTTTATGACGTCATTTAGCCCCAGCTTTACTCTATTTAGTTTTTGCCTGGATGGCTGAGCGTGGAGTGCTGAAGTCTCCCAATATCACTGTGTCCGGTCAATCTGTAACTTTAGATCTAATAGCATTTTTTCTGTATGAATCTATTGTCTCTCTGGTGCACACATGTTTAAGATTATAATATCTTCTGGGATTTTTTTCCTTTAAGGAATATATATATATATATTCCGTCTTAAGTTTCGGTGTCATTCTATATATATTATATATAGGAATATATATATATATATATATCTTTGATTAGTTTTGGCTTTAAATCTACTTTGTCAGGTTTTAGAACAGCTATCACTGGCTCCTTCTTTATTCCCTTTGTGTTCAGAATGAAAATCCAACAAGGCCCCAGCTGTGTGTGCTTGCCTGTTTGATTGACATGACCATCCACCATTCCTCAGAAATAGAACATTTTGCCTTGCTGAAGTATTTTGGATTCTATGGTCATTTTGTTTTTGTTTTTGTTTTTTTTGGAACCCTCAAATCCATTTCTAACACCCAGGCTATCTAAAACTCAAATTCTTCCAGCCTCTACTTCAGAAGTGCTAGGGCCATGGGTGTATGGCACTGTGCCTATGCTTTGATTTCTCCAGAGTGAATTTAGTGTCAACATCCTTGGAAAAAAGTTAAACAGTGATATGGACATAAACATCCTAGGAAAAAAGTTAAACAGTAACATAGATATAAACACCATTGGGAAAATGTTAAACAATAACATAGAAAAATATATTTTGATTCAGTGGAGAATAAATCACTTAGTAATGAATCCATGCTTAAACAAAGATAAAGTTAATTATATAATAACCATTTAGGATCAGTAAGAAAATGTGTTAATAAAAAAGTACTAAGATTAGCCAGGTGTGGTGGTCCTTTAATTTCAGCACTCAGGAAGCACGGAAACAGTATGTGTATAATATAAATAGACAAATACATACATACACACATACACACATACACACATACACACATACATACACACACACACAGAAATAGAAATATAATTATATATAATAGTAATATATTGTGTTATATATATGATATGTAATGTAGCCATGTGTAATGGTATGTGTCTGCTACTCAAGAGGCAGGAGGATGACTTGTGCCTATAAGCTTGATGTTTTCTTAGACAACACAGAAAGTTACCGACAGAAGAGGGGATGAATATTGCTTTTAAAATGGAGACAACTCAGAAGGCAGAGACAAATGGACTTCTATGAGATCAAGGCCAGCCAGGTGTACATAGCAAAGAGTCCCAGGCCATCAGAGCTACACAGTGACACACAGTCTTTTTTTTTTTTTTAAATGAAAACAAAACAAAGTGAACCATATTGGTATGCATTCTTGCTACCCGTAGGAAGATGATCTCTCTGAATAGCTATCTGAGCTGAGCAGTGCTAGACTGTCACCCCAGAGTGCCGGTTCTTCCCAAGAGTCATCAGTTTGAAATACTCCACAGAATTATGCCTCTGTCCTAGGAAGTGCATGCCTTGGCACCAGCTTGGTGAGAGCAAATCAGACAAGCAAGGCGTGTTCCCAGTTCTCTCTCCAACCCAACGGTACTACTGGTACCTTTCTGTATTTGTAAAGCGGTGACATAATCCCCTGGGGACCAGTAATTTTGTTAAAAATAAACCACATACCAGTTTCTCCTTTACCGGCAGACAATGAGCCACTGCAGGCACGATCTGCTGCCAAAGCACTCGGAGTCCCTGGCACATCCCACCACCACTGCTTCCCGTTTTCTGGACTACCTTCCATCACAATAACTTGGCCATCTGTAAAAGGAGACTGCATTAGCAAAAATAAAGATACTTCATGAAGTCATTGTTTTTAATAGCTGAGTAGTACACCGTTGTGTAAATGTACCACATTTTCTGTATCCATTCCTCTGTTGAGGGATATCTGGATTCTTTCCAGCTTCTGGCTTTAATAAATAAGGCTGCTATAGACATAGTGGAGCATGTGTCCTTGTTATATGTTGGAGCATCTTTTGGGTATATGCCCAGGAGTGGTATGGCTGAGTCTTCAGGTAGAACTATTTCCAATTTTCTGAGGAACCACTAGAATGACTTCCAAATTGGTTTTACCAGTTTCCAATCCCACCAGCAATGGAGGATTGTTACTCTTTCTCCACATCCTTGCCAGCATTTACTGTTGCCTGAATGTTTTTTTATCTTAGTCATTCTGATAGGTGTGAGGTGGAATCTTTTCAGTTTTTATATTTTATTATATTTTATAACATTCCACAGAATGTTAGAGCCATGGACATCACATTCCTCATTTTGTTTATAAAGAGGCCAGTACGTGTGTGTGTGTGTGTGTGTGTGTGTGTGTGAACATTACTGCCTTCTTGCCACATGTTGAGAGTTATATTTTGCTGTGTAAACTGTGATAAATTTCCATGCGCTTATTTTTTTAGTTGAGCTCATCCTCCTGTGCCTTACTGAATTATATAAATCAGCTCACCAACTTACAATAAGTCATTTTAGTGACACACGCTCATCCCTTGGCATCCAAAGCAGATTAGTTAGTTATAGGACACCCACTGATATAAAATCTGTGCTTGTGGGCTGGAGAGGTTGCTCGGCAGCTGAAAGCACTTGCCGCTCTTGCAGAGACTCCAAGTGAGGTTCCCACATGGTGACTTTCAACCATCTGTAGCTCTGGCTTCGTGGAGATCCTATGCCTTCAGAATCCACTAGCACTGCTCAGATGAGTATATAGCCACACAGAGACACAAGGGCACATCATTTAAAATAATAAAAATCATATATTTTAAATCTGCATATGAAATATGTACTATTTGCTTAAAACGTATTCGTGTCTTCCAACATACTTTTCATCGGGGTGGGGAGGAGACAGGATCTCCTGTATCTCATGGTAGCTTTGAACTGTCTAGAGTAGCTGAGGGTGATCTTGAACTCTTTATCCCCCTGGTCTCCATCTCTACCTTCCAAATGTTGAGGTTACAGCACGTACCACTATACTGAGTTTCTAGCATTCTTTATTTTTTTAAGGTTTAATTTTTATTATTTTTAGTAATTCTCTGTATGTGTGAGAATGAGGGTATGTGCACGTGGTTACTTGAAGAGGCCAGAGGAGGGGTTTGTGTCTCCTACAACTAGAGTTGTAAAGGGTTCTGCGTTACCATATTTGGGTGCTGGGAACTAAACCTGAGTCTTCTGCAACAAGAGCAGTACATTCTCTTAACTGCTGAGCCATCTCTCTGGCCCATTCCCTAAGTTTTAAATCAACCCTAGATGGCTTACACACAGCACAATGCAAATGCCACATACAGCATTGTTCTACTGCACTGCTAGGGAACGTGGCAAAAAAAATCCGTATGCGTTCACATAGACGAAAGTCTTTTTCTGATAATTTTTCCACTTGTGATTAATTGACTCCAAGGACACCGAGAGCTGTCTACTCAATTTATAGCACAGTCTTAAATTTTAACCCTTTCTTGAGGGCTAAGTATTGAAGAACAAAGGACGCACAAGGACTTGGGAGATGGCTCAGTGAATGAAACCTGCTTGTTTCATAAGCATGACCTTCTGGGTTAGCTGGAGCTTGAACCCAGGACTGTGCACATGCTAGGCCCTTGACAGCCAAGCTGCACACCTAACCCTAAGACCAATTTTATTGGTGAGGGGGAAGAATCATCAATGACGTCACGAGGCTGTAACTAAGCCATAGTTAGGAACTGAGTCAAGTGGCACCCTCCTCCTGATCCCCTCTCTCACTTAAGGAAATATGGCAGTCATGATTTTCTTCCTGTACTGTCGTATGACCAGAGTCCCTGGCTGCTAGAATAACTAGCACACAAATCTCAACTTGACACTCATGATCCCAAAAGAATATCTTTGTAAAATGTGTAGTGACTGAGAGGCGCCAACCATTCCAATAAGGTGTACACTGGCAGCAACGTCATGCCAGGCCCTGGTCCTCCCCTGCTGCTGACTGACAACTGACCAAAGACTCACCATCCGGCATGGTGGGGCAGGTGGAAGTGACGTCTGCTGTTGCCATTATCTGCAGCAGAGTCTGAGGTGCTCTGGCATCCCACTGTCTCCTGTTCTCTGTGGCAATGATATCCTGAAAGAAACCCTCTGAGTGTAAGAAAATAACTGATTAGTTCCGCTGCAGCCAGAGTCTAACAACGGTACCTAATGGCTTTTAGGGACTGGCCCAGTGTGCTTTCTGTTGCTGTGACAAGTGCCATAACCAAAACCAACTTCTGGGGTAAAGGGTTTATTCCGTCTTCCAGCACACAGTTCACGAAGGAACTCCATGGCAGGAGCTGAAGCAGCAGCCATGGAGGAGGCCTGCTTCCTGGCTTGCTCCCAGGATCACATTCAGCTGCCTTTCTTATACCCACCAAGGCCACCTGCCCAGAGATGTCACAGCCGCTCATGGGTGTGGCCCTCCCACACCAATCAAGAAAATGCCTCACAGACTTGCCTACAGGCCAACCTGATGGAGGCCATTCCACAACTGAAGCGCCCTCTCCCCAATGTGACTCGAGTTTCTGTCGAGTTGGCAGAAGACTAGCCAGCATAGGGACCAAAGAGTAGGATGGTCAAGTCACAGGAACCAGCACCTGGGCCTCTAACAGACCCAACAGAGAAGGCGGAAACTCAGACAGCTTTCAAAGTTGTTTCGTTTTTTTATCATTAATGTTGAGTATCCAGTTTAACTAAGGGCTACGGAAGTCCATGAATAGAAAAATGACTGAGACATCTATGAGAATTCTCATGTGAATCTGTTTCTGCATATGCAATCTCTCTCTCTCTCTCTCTCTCTCTCTCTCTCTCTCTC